CCAAAGAAACCATCAAGAGAGCAGGGAGACAGCCTACAGACTGGGAAAAAGTATTTGCCAACTCCAGGTCTGACAAAGAATTAATATCTTTGATCTACAAGGAACTCAAACGTGATGGAAAAAAAACCAAAACAAACAAACAAACAAAAAAAAAAACCCAATTATAAAATGGGCAAAAGATATGAACAGACACTTCTCAATGGAAGACATTCAAGCAGCCAACAGACACATGAAAAAATGTTCAACCTCACTAAATCATCAGGGAGATGCAAATCAAAACCACACTGATATACCACCTAACTCCACTCATATAGTGGACCTTGAACATCCAATGTAATACTATAAGAAAATGACTGACAGTGGTGGGAAACTATGGGGGGGGAAAGGGAGATGGGATTAATGGTAGTAAATATCTGTCTGGGGATGGGAGACACCTCTTATCAACAAGGGTGCCTGAACAAAGCATATTTGTATACCTAACCCTTAACTGTACCCCACAATATCATAATAAAAATATTGATTAAAAAATTAATACTATAAGAAAGGGATTGGCAGTAGTGAGAAACTGTCAGGGGAAAAGGGATGGGAATGGCAGTTAAGGGAAAGTACTAGGGGAGGGAGGGGCAGACTTCATCAACAATGGTAGCTGCATAATCAATGTTTGTATAACTAACCCTAAATTGTACCCCACATCTTTACAATAAAACATTTTTAAAAATTATTTTCTAAAGTGATTCAAAAAAAAAGAAAGAAAGAAAGAAAAGCCAGGTATGGTGGCTCATGCCTGTAATTCCAGCACTTTTGGAGCCCAAGGCTAGAGGACTGCTTAAGCTGAGGAGTTCAAGACCAGCCTGGGCAACATAGATAAAGACCCCTGTCTTTATCTTTAAAAAAAAAAGTGATTCAAAAATAAGAAAAAAATCTTCTAGTTCCCATTTCTGATGTTCTATGTTTTTCTGTGTAATCCATATTTCCTTATAATATAATTTCCTTTCTGCCTAAAGGACTTCCTTTATCATGTCTTGTAGGGCCCATCTGTTAGTGGTACACATTTTCTGCCTTTGTGTATCTGAAAAATTCTTTATTTCACCTTCATTTTTGCTGAGTATACAATTTAAAGTGGACAGGTGTAGCTTCTGTTTGTTTTTGTGTTCTGAGTGGGTTTGGGGGTTTGTTTTGTTACACATGTTAAACACTCCTTCACTGTGTTGGTTTGCATTGTTACTGACAAGAAATCTGCTGACATCCTTATCTTTAACACTCTGTATATAATGTCTGGCTTTGAATTTTTATCTTTGTCACTAGTTTTATGCAATTTGATCATGATGTGTTTTGGTGTGGTATTTTTTATATTTCTATGCTTCAGAGTTCACTGCATTTCTGGGTTCCATGAGTTTGTATCAAATTTTAAAATATTTTGGCCATTATTTTCCTGAATAGTTTTTCTTTTCCCTTTGTCCTTTTCTCCCCTTCTGGAACTCTAATGGCACATAGTAGGGAATTTGAAATGATTCCACAGCTCCCATATACTCTGTCCATATCATCAGTCTTTTTCTTTTTTTCATCCATGATTCCTTTTTAGTAGTTTCTAATGCTGTGCTTCAAGTTCACTCATCTGTCTTCTGCTACCTAACGTCTAACCTGTTGTTAATCTCACCCAGTGCTTTTTTATCTCAAACTTATTTCTTGTCTTTAGAAGTTTGATTTGTGTCTTTTTATCTCCTATGCCCCTCTACATGGTCATGCTCTCTTCCACCTTCTTGAGCACATGAAATATACAATATACTTATCATCTCTATTTTAATGTTCCTACCTATAATATTTCATCTGTGCCATTTCTGAGCCTGTTTCTAATGATCCATTTTTCTCCTCATGTGGGTTCCATTTTCCTGCCTCTTTGCAAGCCTGGTTATTATGCAATTGATGCCAGGCATTTAATTGAATGAATTTTGTATTTGACAGTGGTTCTTTCTACGTTTTGGGGTAGGTTCCTCAAATGCAGGCACTAACGGGTACTTGGTTGAAGACAGGCAAACTCCTGCAAATCTCTTTGCTCTCTCCTCTCTCCTCTATCCTCTATCCTCTCCCTCCCCTTCCTTCCTCTCTCTCTCTCTCTCCCCTTTTCTTTGGGTTCTCCCCTCTGCTGTACATCTTATAACTTGCTTCGTGTGTCCTTTCATTCAGGAATCACTACCCTGTGCTGCGTGTTGACTGTAAAGCAATATCTGAAACATTGAGGCTGGGCACAGTGGCTCATACCTGTAATCTCAGCACTTTGGGAGGCTGAGGTGAAAGGACTTACTGCCTGAGCCCAGGAGTTTGAGACCAGCCTTGGTAACATGGTGAGTCCTCATCTCCACAATAAATCAGGTGGTGAGCACATGTAGTCCCAGCTACTTGGAAGGCTGAGGTGGAAGTGAGGCAGGGAACCCTTCCCCTAAGTCTTATAAAATAAAAGCCTTCCCAGAATAATAAAAGGGTTCTTCTAGCACGATATGAACTTGCTTAGATGATACATATTAGAAAGAAATGTGACCCCAATCTATAATTGTAACTCTACTGTGTAAACTTGAGCTATGAAATATCCAATTAACCAGCATGTTACTAATAAGTAAGCCTTATTGGGGGACAAAAAAACTAAAATCGTATAAAAGACAATGTCCCCATGTGTTTGGGCTCAGCCTTTGGATGCAGATCCGCTGAGCCTATGCCGGCACGATCAAACGCTGTTTCCTGGCAACATAGCCTCAGTGTCCCATCTCTCTCTGTAGAGATTCCTGCTACAGAAGGATCACCTGAACCCAGCAGGTCAAGGCTGTGGTAGCCGTGAGCATGCCACTGCACTCCAGCCTGGGTGACAGAGAGTCCGACAAAACACACACACACACAGAGAGAGAGAGAGAGAGAGAGATCTGGAAAAAATGTTATTCCATCTTTTAGTTAAGGCAGGATGGTAAAATGGTAAATCCAGTTCTCATTCATTCATCATGGTGAGATGGTGAAGCTCATGACACACTCTGGTTTTGACCTATGTATTTTATGTCTCCCTCCCCCATTAGAGTGTGCACTCCATGGAGGTGAGAAATATTCTGGGACGTTAGTCAGTTGTATTCCCTACAGTATCCCCAATTTCTGGCACATGAAGGAGAGTTACCACTTGGCACATAGAGTAACCACCTGTCCCAGTATGTCCTGGGCTGAGGGATTTCCCTGAACCAAAACTGACTTAGCCAGGGGACACAGGGGACTCTGCCTGAAGCCCACACAGTGTTTAATATCTTCTAAAGAAAAAAAAAATTAGCCTTAGGGTTGAAGAAAATGTGTTTCTCACATTGGAAACAATGAAAATTTTAGGGCCCATGAAAATCGATTAAATTTCACCAACAACAGAACGAAAAATGCAGTATTTAAAGTTATATAAAAATTATTATTTAATATTAATATTATGGTGGTGAGACGAGTCTATTAAACAATGGGAGGCTTTCGAGGCTTGTTTTCAAGTTTTGTTAGGTGGGACCAGATGTGCGGGCTGAGGCACAAATAAATCAGGCTGCTGGCTGAGGCCACTGGGGACCCAGTAGGCCAAAGGGGGTGGTCACCCCACAGGCTCCTCCAGCGTGAGTTGGGCTGAAGGAATGAGGAGCGGGGGCGTCGGGACTGGGGGGCGGGGCAACTAAACACCGCGGCGTGGGCGAGTGGGAGAAGGGCGGCTGCCGGGGAATAGTCCGGCTGGGGTGGATTTCGCGGCAGGACCTGGAGGACAGGGCGGTGAAGCGTCCGTACGAAACACATGCGTTTGAAGACCTCCAAGGTGTCACTACAGAGCTGCTTGCGTATCGGGGTCTCAAAGCGTGAGAAGCGGGCGGAGAACTGGTGACAGGACGCGGGCAGAGCTGGGACACGGTCGGTAGTGAGCCCTCGCTCAGTCAGCTGTCTCGGGGCGGGGCGGGGGCGGGGCTGGGGCGGGTTCTTCGCTGAGCTCTCTCTCAGCGGGCGCCAGGGGGCGGGACGTGGGCGGGGCCGGGGCGGGGCCGGGGCGGGGCCTGCGGCGAGCTAGAGACTCCGGCAAAGCGGTACCAGGGCTGCGGAGCGCACGGACGGACGCACAGTCGGGCCGAGAGAGGGACCCGCCAGCGGCCGCGAGTGAGTCCGAGGGGCGGCGGAGGCGCAAGGTGGGGGAGGTCACGGGTGAGGTCACCCCGCTACCTCGGCTCCTGCCTTAGCGCCCCCCCCCTCGGCCCGGGACCGCAGTCTTTGGGGCGGGGCTCTCCGAGAGGGGGCGGAAAGCGCCGGAGCCGCAGTCTCAGCCTGCTCAGGCCTTAGGCATACCCGGGTTGCCGCTGGGGAAATGAGTCATGGAAGACGGATTTGTTGTTCTCGGGAAAGAAGGAGGTCTAATTTAGTTCCCCAGGACAGGGCCCAGGACAGGGCTGGGGGCCTGAGTATTCACATGCGAGGAGGAGAGTCGCAGTCCAGATTCCCCCCCCCCAACCTCTTCCCACAGGGGTTTTTATCCCAAACACCAAACCCAGACTGGAAAATTCTTCCATCGCTCTTGCCCAAGCACCCTCCTGGGATGCATTCAAAGCGCATTTCTTCACGAACTGGACACAGCTCATGCTATCCAGAGAACACCCCTCCCCCCCCCCCCC